ACTTGTGCTCGGCCCTAGGTCGCCTCCCGCTCCCAGCTTTGCTTCCCAAGCCCTGTGCTTGGACCAGCCAGTGAGCACGTGGACAAGACCTGCAGGGGACGGCTGCTTCACCTGAGGTCCCACCGAATGCATTTTCAATACCTCTTTAGGTCATTATGATAGGAACCCCCTTATCTGAGGTTTCACTGTCCGCAGTTTGTCACTGAGGTCAACTGCGGTACGAAAATATCAAATGGAAAATTCCAGAAATAAACAATTCATAAGTTTTTTTTCATAAATTGTGCACCATTCTTAGTAGTGGGATGACATCTCGCACCATCCTGTCCCCTCCACCCAACGTGAATCCTCCTTTTGTCCAGCATCTCCACGCTGTAGACGCTGCCTGCCCTGCAGTCACTTAGCAGCTATCTGGGTTATTAGATTGACTGTCGTGGTGTCACAGCACTTGTGTGCAAGTCACCCTTATGATGGCCCCAAACCACAAGAGGAGTGATGCTGGTGATTCAGACATGCCAAAACTGTTAAGTGCTTCCTTTAAGTGAAAAGGTAAAAGCTCTCTACTTAATAGGGAAAGAAAAAAAAAAATCATATGCTGATGCTGCTAAGGTCTACAGTAAGAGAAAATCTATTCATGAAACTGTGAAGAAGGAAAAATAAATTTGGAAATAGTATATACGGGGTGCGGTACTATCCGTGGTTTCGGGCACCCACTGGAGGTCTTGGAAGTACCCCCCGCAGATAAGGGTCTAATCCCTTTGCCCCACCTGATAGTATCTTCAGAAAACAGGGTGAGGTACCTATGTTACTTGCTCTTTGAAGTTGTGCACAGTGATGGGCTTGAGAGTGAGATTTGTCCTTGGGTCTTTATATTAGTACATTTCTGTTGCTTATAACGAAATACCTAGAACTGGGTAATATGAAAGGAAACAAAATTTATTGCTTATAATTTCAAAGTCTGGGGAAGTCCAATGTGTAGGGAACACAGTTGGTGAAGACCTTGGTGGTGGTGACAGTGACCCAGCGGTCTCACATGGCAGAAAATGGCAGAACAGAGACAGACTAACCTCTCATGATCTTCTTTTAAAGCCCTCAGAACCATGCCCCTGACCACCATTTTTAATCCATTCACTAGGGCACGGTCCTATAATCTAATCACCTCTTCAAGATTGCACCTTTCAATTACCTTAAGATTTCCCACCCTCAACAGTTACAGTGGGAATTAAGCTTCTAATATATGAACTTTGAGGACACATTTCAATCCACAGCAGGTCTCCTGGAGCCCTCCTGGCGCACAGCCCTCTCTCTAAGGCCCACCGTTGACAGTGGGAGGCCCTGGCACTTCCTCGGGACCTGGGGAAGGAGCTATGGGCAGGTGTCCTCTCATAAAATATGAGGGTATTTTAAAAAGTTCATGGAAAAATAGAATAAAATTAATGAATCTTTCCATTAACTTTTTGAAAATCCCTTGTGCACTCAAGCCAACAGCTCAGTGTTAGGAGAGCTGGTCACTTGGAGCTCCATGGATTTGTGGAATTTGAAGTCAAAGAAGCCAGGTAAAGGTCCTATCATCTCCAGGAGAGTCACCTGCATGCCTGTGCTACAGACTCTGAGAGGTTCCTCAACAAAGAATCCCACTGAAGCATTTTTATTTTTTAGCTCCAGTATTTCCCAAGCCAAATAACTCACAGAATTTGATTTTAATGAAGCACTTACTAATCTCCTTCAGAAGTGTTTTGCCTACACATTTTGGGAGGTGCTGGTGCCATGGAAAGAACACTCGTTCTCAGTTCTGGTTCTGGCTTCCCAATTTACTGACGCTGTGCTATGAAGGAAATTATTTAATCTCCTGACCCCCATTTCCTTCTCTATGTGCTGGAGATAAGAACTGTCCTGCCTACATTCCAGGGGTAAAATGTGATGGTATTTGGGAGCTTTTGAAAAGAGATGCTCGGCTCCAGCCTTGCTGGCTGAATCAGTCACTCACAGACCCACACCCTCCATTTGGAAGTACCTTGTGTCTGCACAAGCTAAGCCAGTGGCCCGTCCTGGCCCAATACCCAGGCGGGAGACAGAGATAAGCAGTTGCAACATAAGGAAACAGGCCTTCACGCTTAGCATTTCAGGGCTCTGCAGACCTTCAAATTGGTGTCCAATGTTCTGTGCACCAGTTTACTAGGTTAAAAGAAAACCATTTAGAAGAGGGACTGTGCATTCTTTAACCAGACCTCCAAGCCTGGGACTCAGCTGCTCCACACGTGACCTTGAGCAACACCCTCCCTTGTCCCATGCTTACCGCATGCCAGGAACAGTGCTAAGCCCCTACACATTTTATCTCATTTAATCCTTACAAATGTCTTACAGATGGGCAAATAAACTCAGATAGGGGTTAAGTACTTGCTCAAAGCCACACAGCTAAACAGTAGAACCAGCCTGGATTAAGACTTTAACAATATATACTGAGTCCCTAATACCTAGTAGGCACCCAATTGAGGGCAGCTATTATTAGTCTAAGATTTGGCATTGTTTTCTATGCTCAGATCTCTCTAGATTTATATATGCAGTACCTCCTATATACTAAGTAGATAGTGACACCTAAACATTCCTCAAATTTGTACAAAACGTGACAGGACAACTGACGTCACTGTTTCTCAATGAATTGAAATTGTGGAGAAAAAAGAATAGGCAATAGGAGATTGCTCTAGAAAGAGACTTAAGAGACGTAAGTAAAAGTGCAGACATTGTTGATGATATGAAGGACCAATTGTAAAAATACATTTCTGAGAAAACTGGGGAAATTTGACCATGTACTGGGTATTAAATGAATTATTTTGGTAGCTGAGATAAGGCTCTGTTTCTGTAGGAAAATGCATTCTCAGGTATGTAGGGGTGAAAGACGTCCTGGGTATGTCATTAAAGGAAAAAAAGAGGATAGGGCAGATATAAATGCAGAATTTTGATAGTTCCAGGTGGATGGTAAAGGGTGTTGTTTATACTCCTTCCATTTTTGTGTGTGCTTGATAAGTTTTATAATAACAAAAACCTTAATTCAGGAACCTGGGCATCCAATCACCCTTAGTTCCACTTACCCACCCCAACATCTGATCAGCCCGGGAGTCCTGGAGATACGGTACTCTTACCCGATAGAGCCCATTTTCTACCCAAAATGCAGCCCATCCACCAGTCCCTTGCTACTCGACTCTCCTCCTCCTCTTCTCAGCTCTCTGAGGGGCTGATCTAGGCTCTCCACCTGGGACGGTGTCCCCGGGCTCCCATGCCCCCATGAGGCACTGATCGCACTGGACCAGAACTGATTGACTTGTCTCTTCTGTGAGCTCCCCGACCAGTCTGGGGTAAATTCCCTCACAGAGGTCTTGCCTTTTGCAGTCAATATGAAGTTTACTCAGTTAAAACACTTGGGCAACCTGGTTTTCAAATTATATTTCAGAAGCGGATACTTTTTTGACTTCTGCCTCAGGGCATTTGCACATGCTGGCCCAATGCCTGGAACATTTATTCCTGGTTTCTCAATCTTCAATGTGCACATGAATCTCCTGAGACCTTACATGCAGAGTGACTCCCTAGGGCCAAGTCCCAGCCTGAGATGCTGCATTTCTGACAAACATCCAGGTAGTACCAACGAAAGCAGGACCCAGGAATTGCTCTTATTCTTTGCCTGGCTCAAGCCAACTTGTCCTTAGGGTCCCAGCTCAAATGTCACTTCAGAAAGGCTTCCCTGACACCTCAACCGAAATGAGGCCATCCTGCTGTTCTCTCCTGGAGATTGGCTGTCCTCCTCATGGTCCTTTATCCTCATGGGCAGCGTTCCCCCGACTGGACTAGAAACCCCAGGAAGAACCATTTGTTCTCCTGGCACAGTGTTGAATGAACGTGACTTTTGCTTCAAAAAAAAAAGCCCTTAAGTGAGGCCCCCCACCCACATCTACTCCTATGAGCCCCTGAGGGAAGGGGCTTGAAGGGCCCCAGCCCAGGATGGGGGCGACTTGTCCTCCTGATGGAGGGCATCATGGGGTGCAGACTTCCCGTCATGCTGAAGATTCTGGGGACCTACACACCACAGCCCATCCGCAGTTCCTAGTCTGCCTCGGCCAGATCCAACTCTAAAGTCGTCTGCCCCTTCCCGTGAGACCTGTTCCCTGCACCCCACCCAAACCCTATGACAAACAGCTGTCTCTGCTGAGGGAACTGCCAAGGCAGGAAATTTTCAGCCTCATCACTTTTGTTTCAGTGGAAATTAGGAACAGGTGAGTGATGGGGAGGAGGCGACGGCTCAGCTCCGTGAATGATCCTGGAACAGAGCTCACATCTCACACAATCTCCCGAGAACCCTATGGCCCAGGGCAACCTGTAAGGAAGAGCTGGGCCGGCGCTGCCCCACCCTCCCTGTCCTATCCCCTCCTCTCAGCTCCCCACAAGGTGCTCAGGGTGGCCTCCTTGTCCTTCCCCATCACAACACTCTGCCAGTGCTCACCTGAACACACAACCAGGAACTGAGACCTCCGAGGCGCCTCAGCCCAGGTCAGGCTGATGAGCCTTCCCTGGGATCTGCAGGGGTCAGTGAGGCAGCCCACCTACCGAGCCCAGGCCAGGCCTCCCTGGCCCTTCAACTCAAGCCCACTTGGGCTCCTGCTCCACCCCAAGGCTCCCAGAACAGAGCAGGTGTTTTCTAACATATTTATGGAGGTTAATTTTTAATAATTTTTATTCCATTATGACAGCCTAGCCTATCTTTTCTACCACCCCAAAGTACCCATGCTCTGTCCAAGGTCATTTCTAGTTGAGCAGTGGGGACTCTGAAGAGGTGGGGCTGCCATGGGTGGGTGGCCTCTCTCTGGAGCTGAGCCTGGCTTGGGGGACCTGGGCGGGTGTCCTCCTCGGCAGGGGGCTGGCAACAGTTCTCACTTTGTGCCATAACAGTAAGAAGCCAAAAACTGAAACAGTCAAATCTTTAACAATTCTTCAATGATAAAAGACAAAATCAATGTGATCTGGCAAAGCATTTCTTAAACTTTAAATTAAAAAAGAAAACATTCTTGCACAGAAGAGTCTCAACTTATCTGCTCTGAGGAAGTGTAAAGTAGAAGGTAAAAAAAAAATCAAACCCCAAATGATAAAAATAGATGTATCCTCCATAAAAATCTGGACCAAACTACTGAGTCATTCATGACTATTCCATATTCAGAGCATGAGGTGAAATACCAAAGTATAAAAAATTGGGGAAAAAAAAAATCAAGGTACTGCCACTATGTATGTGGCCCGGCCGTACCACGGGCTGGCACCCCTGGCTGCAGCCATCAGAAGCCACAGTGTGTCTGGTCCCTCGACCCTCTGCAGACCTCAAGGCTTTCAAAGCTCTTCCTTGGTCCTGCTCAGTTTTGTGGCATGTTCTTCTACAAACTTGCTCAAGTGCTCCAGATCTCTGTCGCCACCCTCAAATTTAATTGGGTTCTTTTTGTCCCCACTGGGGGCAAAGTAGATGGTGGGGAAGCCCTCCACCTTGTAGCGGTCACTGGTGATGTCGTTGGCAGTGGCATCCATCTTGGCGATAACCAGGCTCTTCTGGCCCTTGTACTTCTTGGCCAGGCTGGTGTACACGGGCTCCAGCTGCTTGCAGTGTCCGCACCACGGTGCGTAGAACTCGATTAGGACGTCCTTCATGGGGTCCATCACAATGGAGTCGAAGGTCTTCCCCACCACGACCTTGACCGGACCCTTGTTGTTCTTGGGCACTGGCTGGGATTTGATGACTGGCTTCAGCTTTCCTGCCAAGGAAAGCAAGGGTGGGGAAGGGTGTCAGCACTGAAACGGCCTTGGACCCTGATAGACTGTGCAGCAAGGCCAGGAAGGGCCTCATCTCCAAAAGCCCCACCCCAACAAAAGGCACGTTATTTCTCTGGTTAACTGGTATCTTCTCTCCCAGTCCCTGCAAAGCCCAGAGAGGGCACAGGTCAATCCCAACCTAGGAGTAAAGGGCCATCTTGGTCCTGTCCAGTGAGGCTGTCATAAGAGAGATGCTGCCCAGTGCAATGGAGTTTTTGAGAGCCAGCACCTAGGACTGAAAACCACAGTGGGAGAAGTTCCGAGAAGACACTGTGGTCTGCACATAATTTGGCCAGAGCTGGGGAACTGGGGCCATGTGCCCAACCAAGATCAATAAAGATACTCTGCTTAAAGCCTCACAGTAGGTTTTCCATATACACAAAACTTAATTTCTAAGTCCAAAAGCCTATTCTAAAGGTTTTAAAAATGAGTCTCCTTTAATTTCCAAGACACACCTCCTCTTTTTCTAGAAGAAAAAGAAAACAAAGCACATGAATTGGGATTCTCCATCTGTCTCCCTATCCCTCAGGGTCCAGGAGCGAAAACCAAGGGTCAGGCCCATGAGAACCAGTGACTGAGGATGCAGAGGCCCAAGCCAGGCTCAGAAGCCACGGGAACAGCACTGATCGCACCCAAACTTTGCCCATCTGTCTGGGCTGCATCTTCCAATGTCTCCACTGCATGGCCATGCTGTAAGCCTGAACTGTAGCTGGTGGAAGCTAAGTGACATTAAATGAGCCCTAAGAGCCCAAATCTTGCTTTTACTTTCAAAGTAAACAATGGAAGAATTGCCAAAAGGAAATAAAATTTCCAAATGTTCCAAAACTTCCAAGCTGACTGGTACCTTGGTGTTTGGGGCCACTTGACCCTTCCTGGGACAAGGAAGTCAGAGAGCCACACACGCCCAGCGGTGGGGAGGGGCCGCCCCTCCACGGGGCCAGATGCCTCTGCAGCCTGCACAGGTTCTGTGCTGATGAAGCACAAGAGCCACCCAAGGGAGACCATGGCCCCGGCTCACCTTTTTTGAAAGCTGTGACAAACTCCCGGAGGGTGTCAGAATCAAACTCCTCCGGCTCCATGGCGAACTTCCTCCCGCTCTCGTCCAGGACGGCTGCATTGACGTCCTCACCGCTCTCACTGAGGCCCAGGTCCTTCACCTCCGTGGCATAGTCCTCCTCATCAGCAATGGCAAAGGTGTACTCGGGGAAGTCCTTGGCCACCTCCAGGACTTTGTTCCGCCAAAACTGAGTAGCTGAAATGGACCAAGGGCTATGAGCTGAGCAGGTAAGTGGACCGACAGTCCCAGCTCAGACTCCGAGGTAGTTAAGATTCTGTCGCTAATATTCACAGACAAGGCACAAGCCCTGGATTCACTTCATTTTTTTTTTTTTTTAAATTTCTGATGGCTGGCCAGTGTGGGGAACCAGACCCTTGACCTTGGTGTTGTAAGGCCGTGCTCTAACCGACTGACCCCACCGGCCAGCCCTGAATTCACTCCAACCAGAGAGACAAGCACTTCTGAAAAAGCCACGCTTTGTGAGCAGCTGGGCTATGGCCGCAAACCCAGCAAGCCCCACGGGCCTGTGCCCAGGTGCCACAGCACTGCCTGCCTGGAGCCCGAGGCAGGCCTGGCCTGGTCCTGCAGCCTCTCAACTTCTCCAGCTCAGCCTCCTCATCTCTAACACGGCGCTGGACTCAACTCTAAGCTCCTCCCTTGCTAAAAAGGGAAGGAAAATGGATAATTATACAGCACAGAATGAAAAATGACCCCGAAGCCATAAATTAAAAAAGAAAAGTCCACACCGGGGCCACCCCAGGACAGGATTTCTAAGTGAGCGAGCCTGAGCCCGGCCCCAGGCCCCAGTGGGCCCTCACGCACCTGCTCTGTAGTCGAAGCTGAAGTCCACACTGTAGTAGACGACCACCAGGGGGCGCCTGCTGTAGCGCTTGGCCTCGTTGAAGGTCTTGCGGTGGCCCACCAGGGGCAAGGCGTGCTTCACCACATAGTCCTGGATGGCCGACCCCTCCACCGAACCCTGTTCCAGACAGGGCACGGATGAGAGCCAGCCCCCCAAAACGGGCTCCGTCTGACACCCACATCTCCTACTGCTGCTGTTAACCAGCACAAACGTTTGCTCTGAGGGGTTTCAGCGTGGGGGGTGGGAAGCGCGGCTGTCTGAAGGGATGGGTCTTGGAGGCGACAGCTCTGGGCCTGCCCCCATTCAAGCACACCCCAATAACTCCCTGCTGCCTTTGGGGCTTCCATTCCTCCCATGAACACTAAGGAGACTTCTCAGGCGAAGGCAGACACGTGGAGGGTCTGGGCCCACCAAACCCAGTAAGAGCCACTCAAGGAAGGCCAGCAGCTGTTTACATGGACCGAACCGTGCAAAACTTTCCATCCCAGCCAGTCTGATCTTCACAGGAGGTATGTCCTTCTTACAGACAAGGGCAAGCCAGAAAGATACAGGGTAGTCTCTCCTAGGCATGGCTGCCTTTCCAGGTTCCAGGCTGTTCCCTCAGTGGAGGCCCCAGGAACTCGGGGTGAGGAGGCTGGGCTCACCCCGCCTTGTCCTGTCACACACACTCCCCTGCCCCTTCAGGTCCCACAAGAGCCCAGCAAGGGTCCCGGCGCTGTGGGCCAGCACAGCCTGGGCAGGACACTTGCACGTCCACCTCAGCTCTGCTTCTAACTGGCTGTGGGGCCTGGGTGCGAGAGCTCACTTCTCTGCATCCCAGCCTCTGTGCGATGAAAGCTGTGGATTCGACACCCCACATTACTTCCCAATCTGAGATCTATTCATTGAAGGTCAGGCCCCACTGAGCTGGACCCAGGATCACCATGGGCCAGGAGCTCCCTGGACCCTTCCAGAGCTGTGTGTGTGCCACCCTTTAGGAAGCTGAAGCAAGGGGGCTGTGGTGGGGGCAGCGGGATGGAGGGCAAATCCACATGCCAAGCTCAGCAGCTCACCCGGTGAATAGAAGGCCCTCGGCACCCAAGCCGCCTCCCAGCACTGATGCCCGGCTCAGCCTAAGCCACACGTCTGGGCCCCAGCCATGACAGACATCCAGGCCAAGCCCTCAGTGGAATATGCACCCGAGGGACACCAGTGCTTGCCTGCCAGGAGCAGGAGCAACTGTTATGGCAAAAGTGGGTGGAGCTTTGCCAGGGGCCTCAGGTGTGTTTGAGGCCCCCCATGCCCGTCCCTGCTGCAAATCTGGACCATAAGCCGCCTGACGGCTCTACCTCCACTCTGTGCCTTCAAAGATCCTGTAGGGTGGGGAGAGAGCATTGCAAAAGGCACTCCAGATCCTACAGAAGAATGGAGCAAAGCCTCCATGCTTCAGACCCCAAAGTGCTCAGCTGGGGTCCTCCTGCTGCTGCGGGGAGCCCTCCCTCACCTCCATGTCCATCACGTTGCTCCTGGGCTCATACTTGGACTGGAATTTCTCAGGCTGCATTACAACCAGCTTCCCTGGGGAGACTTTCAGGAACTTGGCTATTTCGGTGCTGAAAGTGTGGTGGAATTTGTAATCTTCTCTCAGGCTGTTAGCTGAAAAGTTAACAGAAGGAAAACACAATTTATTAAACTGCTTAAGTGACTGAGGTTTAATTTGTTACCCATCTCAGCCAAAGCAAATATCCTGAAAATAGTGTAATTACCACCATCAATTCTGTGTGGACAACACCTCGAGCTTGAACACTTGAAGGGAGTTTGTTTTTAAAAACTTAATACAGGTATAATATCTAAATCCTTTGTCTTGGAATTTGTCAAAAATAAACTGAATGTTCACAGAAAAACCCAGAACTAATCTGTCAGGAGCTACCAATGACTGCCACGCATGGTGAGCAGCACACGGATGCTCAGGCAGATGGATGGTGCGGTGAGGGTATGCGTGTGCCACACAGCCCTGCACGCCTTCCTCTTCAATGCCTTTTGTGGGGGGTCTGAATCTCTCCTCGAGTTGGTGAGCTGCCTGTCTGTGGGCTGGAGCTCTGCATGCAGTTCTTTTGCGATATATGCTTTTATTTAAATCTTGTGAAAACTCCAAAATAAAGCCACTGTCTGAGGATACACCAGAACAGGGCTTGGCTAACTTTCTGGAAATGACCAGATAGTAAATATTTTTGGCTTTGAGGACCATATGGTCTGTCCCACCTACTTAATTCTGCTGTGACAGTGTAAAAGCAGCCAGATAATGTGTAAATCAATGAGCATGGCTGTGTTCCTATAACACTTTACTTACATAAACAGGTGGTGGGCCAGATTTGGCAGATGGCCCATAGTATGATAACCTCTGCCCTAGATCCTGTAGGTGAACTCACCTCCAGTCACCCGGCCCCCTCACTGAGGCATCCAAACCCATCCTGAGATGATTCCATTATTTAGTCATTTAAGTACTGGGGTATCACCCCACCCTTGAAGGTCTAGAGGTTTGGCCTCCAGCTGGTTTACAGGAAACACAGGGCTGAGACAGCACACCACATGTTTCTGGGAAGGAGGGGGGCAGCTTGGAAAAGCTGATGGCTTTTGGGATCACACAGATTCAATTCATAATTTTGTGTCCTACTGACTGCGTGACTTTAGGCATATTAATTATTAACCTCCCTGAGCCTCAGATTCCTCCTCTGCAAAGTGGAGACATTAAAATCTACCTCACAGAACCATTGTGAGGATTAAATAAAGCAATCCATCTATGTAGAAGGCCCTTGATCGTTCATCTCCCACCATTCTGAGCCTCCAGTGCCCCAGGTACTTGTCATCAGTTGGCTTTGGGCAGAGACGGATTTGTGTCAAGACCTCACTTCTTGACCCCATAACCACAGACCCTTTCCTCTTGCTGCCATCCCTTCTGCTCCTGCCCCGTCAGCCTCTCCATAAAACATCTTGTCTCCCTGGGGCCATTTCTGTCACCCTCCATGCTTCCACAGTGGGAGGGTAGGCACAGCAGGCCCAATGACTCTTGTCCCCACCTGCAGGCCTCGTCCTGCCCGAGCTAAGCTAGAGCTTCTGACCATGTAAAGTGTGGTGCCCAGGCCCACCCCAGACCAACTGCACCAGAACACTTATTTTAACAAGATCCCTGGAAATTTGCATGCACATAAATTTGTGCACTTTGCAGCCAGACTTAGGTCTGGAGACTCCACTGCTGCCCACAGCCCTGGGCAGGTTGGGGTTTGTGGAAGATATTGACTAAGAAGTTATTAATGACACAGAAATAAAATACATGTATTTCACAGGACAAAGCCTGTAGTTTAGGGGGCCAAAGCCCAGCCCTTTAGGAAGACACATAGAAATGCTAAGATTGAAAATGACCAGAAAACTTTCACAGGACTAAACCCTTTGATGTAGATAAGAGAACTGAAGCACAGCGAGAAGTGATTGCTGGGGGGGGGGGGGGGGGGGGGGGGCC